CAGAGGGGGCGAAATTGCCCCCTTCTGGGACTGTTCTGAAGCTTTTCAAGCCTCAAAAGAGTCCCAGAAGGTGGCGATTTTGCCCACGCTGGCCCCGTGGGAGAGTGGGGGGAGCATTGCAAGGCTCCTAGAAGGCTCACTTGGACCCGTGCGATGCTCCCCCCTCACGGGGCCAGCGCGAGTGTCGCAAGGGTCCTGGAAGGCTCACTTGGACCCTTGGAAGGCTCCCCCCCATGGGGCCAGTGGGGGCGAAATCGCCACCTTTGCTCCATAAGACACACAGACTCCCCCCCCACTTTTTGGGGGGAAGTGTGTCTTATAGAGCGAAAAAATACTGTATTCCCTTTTTTCTCTTTCACAACGTATTTGGGAATATCTGACAATATCCAGTGAAACTGTCCTGAATCAAACTGTCAACTGAATGAAAGTTATTCATATAATACATAATTTACAGAATGCACTGCTGTAATTGGGAGGGTGGCTCCTTATCCTCCAGCAGCCACGCTGGCATTAGACTTTGGGATGTACAGTCCAATGAAGCAACTTGTCCAAGCTTTGCTCCATAGAGGATGGCATACGGGATTAAATAACTATTATTGGTTTTGAGAAAACCCAGATTTCAGAGGTTTGTAGATGTCAGTATATGTAGAATATTTGTTGCCAGAAACCAACAAGGGCAGAAGACTGCTTTCATAGCTTTCTTGTTTGCCACAATACGCAGCAGGATGTGGCATCTTGTTGTGATTCAAGACTATTCGTGTTCTCCGGACTGGATTGCCACCTATATGACAAGTAGGCATCCTTGGATGCACAGCCTAGTGGAATTCCATTCCTATGTTTGATGTTTTACTGCATTTTTACAACCACTCAAACTAACACAATGCAAGCAAACCAATCAACCATACAGGCCTAACTCCAATTACTAGTCCCAACTAAAGTAGACAGTTAATCAAAATAACAGTGAAAGATAAGTCAGCATTCATAGGCTTTCTGTGTGATTACCACAGATCCTCAAATCCAACAATTTTATTAGCTAACACTTTTTAAAAAAGAAACTTACCTGTAAGCCGTATTTTACCCGTATTTGTTTTAATGCTTTTCTTCTAACTAATTCCTTCTCTTCTTTTGTCAATGCAGGACCAACTGAAAGAAGAAAAGAGTATTCTAAAGAGAAAGAAAGCCAGTGGATTTACATTTATGGACATGATTTATTTTAGAGAAAGACTTAAGTCCCAAAGGCACTGGCATCTAATAAAGTCTACAGTAAGGAGCCAGTATGATACAATAGTGACAGTGCTGGGCTTAGTCTGAGAAATCCAGATCAGAATCTTCATTCATCCACAGAGGCTAACAGGCAGGATATAAGTGTAGTAATTAGAGATGGGGTATTCGTATATGAATATCCCCACACAGGTGGCATTAACGGGCCAGTCCCATGGGACCAGACGGTCCACTCACCGTTCCGCCACAGACTGGGTGATTCTACCAATCAATCTGCAGTGCGTTATCTGAATGCCACTCCTGGCAGGAAGGCAAGCCTCACTGCAAGGCCAAAGAGAGGAAAGTGAATAGCGCGCTGCGGATCTATTGGTAGAATCGTGCCATCCACATCCATGGCGGAATGGTGAGTGGACCATCTGGCCCCATGGGGCTGGACCCTCATTAAGGCCACCTGTGCGGGAATATTCGTATACAAATACCCCCATCTCTAGTAGTAATCTATATAAACAATACTGCTCACATTGCTACAACAACTGGCCACAAATAATTAGTAGTTCCTAATACAGCAAGTATAAAACTATATCATATATAGAAATATAGCTAACAGGTTTCATCCCAACCTCACTGTGTGAACCAATGGTGACACATGTAAACACCATGGTGACAGTCCTTTTTGCTAATTCTGAAATTTCTCACACTACTGTTGCATAACTGAAGATTGAAACATTTAATTTATTTACAGAATGTGCTATCTGCACCTGTCCTTTATAGAATAAGAAAACAATATTCAATTTTTCTTGGTTTATACTCCATGACCCCATTTTCTACATAACTGATAAACTACTTCAGCATAAACGGCAGAGTTTTTCAACCAAATCAATCCTCCTCCTACATATTTGTCAGGGATAGACAGAATTCCAGGCTGATTTTAGAGCTGCAACAATACTACACTGAAGCCTCTGTTCTTTGCTCAGCAATAAGTAGGCTGAGGCTAGCTGGACTGCTTCCTTTCCAGCTTCCCTTTCAACATACTATTTCTTCCTTCCTAGGGCTACGTCAAAAACACAGAGAAAGTACCAATCACCTCTGACCGCAAAATGATCAATGATTCTATGTCAAGTGTGCCAGCATGTTGGTACTGTTTGTGTAACCAGCATCCTGCACAAAATGAAGAGATGTCCAAAAAGCCTCTGGGACATCCTCTAATTGCACTAGAGAAGCCAAGAGGATCTTGAGTCTGAGTTGTAAGAAACTAGGAAGATATTCAATACAGTCATGAATTATCCACTGACTTTCCTGAACTGAAGTAATTAAGTTTCTGCCTAAACACTCTATTTTAACTTTACTCACTGAAAAACTGTTTTTCTTAAAATACCTTAAATATCAATATATAGCAACACTAACTAATATAATAGGCATTTCATAGGAACTGCCAATATTTTTGTAAACAGTGATTTACCACTTACCAGAAGATTTGTTTTTCTTATCAAGGCGAAGATGGGCTCTGACTTGCCCTGGTTCACATCCATCACAGGTTTCGCTTCCAGGGTGTATGTGAAAGGACAACACAGTTTCCCCAATCTTCACTTCATCACCATGTTCCAGAACATGAGGATTGCTTTTTGTTTTAGGCTACATCCAAAAAACAAAGAAACAAAAAGCTAGGTTGTAGAAAACAAATACTAGTGAAGAATCTACGAACTACTGCTTCAAAAATGATAGTCAAGGCATACAGACTATTACCAAGCAAGTACAAGTAGTAACAGTGATGGAAGGACACAGAATAAAGAGCAAGGCACAGAAGAGTACTTCCTGTGATAAGGAGAGGGCAAACCAGCTAAAAGCACTTTAAATGTCTATGCTCACCTGCAGTATTTGATTTCCATTAACTACAGTGCCATTCTGACTGCCTTGATCCACAAGAACATAATTTTGCAGTTCATGATCAAAGTATACTTCTGCATGAAACTGATAAAAAACAGAAATGATATACAATAGTAATTATGCTTCTCCTACTAAGAATATATGACATTAAAAAATACAGTAACTCAAGAATGTTGTACTTTAATAATCTTTCACAACATAAAATCTCCATAAAGAATTTGATTACCTTACTAACACCAAGTTCTGGAATTTGCAGTGTGTGTTCCATACCCTTTTCTCTGTAAAAAACAAAACAAAAGCAGTAGTTAGAACATGGGGGGGGGGAATACTGTGTGAGGCTACCTTAAGTAACTTGACAGTGCAATTCTGCTTAAATCCCCTAGTTTATTTATGATTACAGTGGGGTTCTGGAAGCTGTAGCCCCACAGGGCAGCTTCCTAAGCTCTGAAATACCCAGTAAAATTCTCAGCACTTTTGCCAAACTACAAATTACAAGGAACTTGTTGGGAAGTCATACTGTTAGAAATTTCAATATTTAGGGTAGCAACGGCCTCCTTGTGTGGCAATTTTATTGCTGATCAATTTATGTCAGATATACGAAATACTATTTCCTGTACTGTGGCAACTCCTAATGACTACATGGGGCTGCATCCATATATCTGGCCATCACTTAAGCCCCATGCCACAGCTTACCCCAAATAGCAGGACACCTCAACTGTCAGAGGAACAGTAGGGGAAAGTGAGGAAGAGATGTGAAGAGGGTCAGAAAAGGCAACTTCTGCCAGCCTACTTCTGCTCATGCAAATTTAGACCAATCCATACTATTTTGTCATGGTTTAGCATTACCTACAGTGCTAAAGCAAAGTTCCCATTCCCACCTGCCAGTGTGAACTATTCTACACATGTTAATATTTGGGAATTTTTTTTAAAAAAATTGGTTGTTATTACCTTCCAATTGTGGCAGGTTTGACAGCTGTGATGATATACAGAGATCCCATCTGCAATACTGGTGATCTAATTACAATCACTCTTATACAAGGCGGCCAGATCTTGTCACCATCTAAATCAATTAAAATTATTATTAGGCAAAGGAAACTTTTCTTGCAATTCCTTTGATTTTCAAACTGTTAGCTATACGTAGCACAGCCACTACACTAGTTAAATCATCTCCAGGTATTTGACTACGCTGGTGAGAACTGTAATTCAAAACATATAATAAACACCCAAGTTGGGAGAAAGCAGAGTTAAACCAGATTGTCCAGTGTACTAAACCCATGCAAAAATGAGATGTACCAACATATCTACTAGGTATACTTTTTATTAATACGTTTTCTCAAAGGTTAGTCGTTATGAAATCAGTGTTACTGCCAATCTGTTTATTCTGTTATGCCAGGGAGATGTATCTTGGTTATAAATGTTTAAGGGGAAAACAGGTATCAGTTTGTTAATCATTGTTTCTGGTAACAACTAAACGAGTGTTTCCCATCCTGAGGGTTGTGACTTCCTAGGGAGTCTCAAAGTGTTTTGTGGGGGGTCGTGGGTCACCTTATATGTGTTGTAGCCATTGTTAAATAATTTTTCCTTGAACTTTCAGAGTGTGATATTAATGTCAGCATGTATGTATGAGGAACAGGTTCTTTGGGGGAGAAAGAAACCTCTACTTTCTGAGGAGGGATGACTTAAACCCATTAAAAATGCCCTTTCATGCAAACATGGTAGAGGGAGTGTTGCAGGTTACTTGGCTATTCTATGCCTTAGACAGTCCTTTGGATGCAGCATAACCCTGCTTAAATTCTTTAGTCATCTAAACACCTTAACTGATTAGTTGAACAGATGTACATTTAGTACAAATGGAGCATAAAAAGGAACAGTAGATCTATGCAACATCTGAAACAGACAGAACAAAATTTTTCTGCTATGTGATTTTCTGAAGAGATCCATATAAATGACATCATTAAAAAAATCTTCATCTGATTGCTTTTTACAATGATATAACCATCATTTATTTCAAAACTGATTGAAGCGCACCAGGCACTTTTTGCCATTTCACTGCAGGGACTGATTTTGATAAGTATGGGATTATACTTTTTGATTTTGACAAGTACAGGATTAAACAAGCAGATTTCAGTTTTTCATATTTTGTTTTTGCTTGTTCCCCAAACTGTAAACACTGGAGAATATTTGCTTTAAAACCTGTTAATTCACCTTCACTGTCAGTGTCTTCTGAATTAACAGTTCCTTCACTTGTTACTTCATCTTCACTGGTACATTCTTCCTGTTCAGAGTCTGTAATTTCACCTTCTTCTGGCTCACTCTCTGACTCTGTTTTATTGTCGTCTATAACAGCAGTACATTTTGTGTTTCTAAGATGTAAATTGGTGCCGTTCAGGGTATTTGATTCCTTGGACATAAGGCTGTTTTTTCTGTCAATGTCCACCTTAGCCCTTTTCGTATTTGGAGATTCTTCTTCTTCTGGAGAATTTAGTTCATTAATGGTAGAAAGACAATTCAGACTGCTGGGAGATTTTTGATCATCGTCCTGAAGAAGATTTACAAAAAAATCACACCTGAGGAATATATATATTTTCTTTTTTAGGAAAATGAATGGATTTCATAAGCCACTAGGTACAATTATGTAAATAAGATGGCATCGTCAAATATATTTGGTGTTGCAGTAGGAAACAGAGTCAATTGATATATGTTTGTCAGTCAAAACAATTCTAAAACATTATGGCTAAAAGTCCTCTTCAGTGCTTTGGTATTACAGTCAATTTACCATCAGTCTTCAGATCCCTTCACTGAATCTTCAGATGCTGAACTTGCTTTTAAAAAAAGCAAAGGATGCTATCCCTTCTAGATACATATTGGAAGAGATGGCTATAACGTTCTTTTCCACTTTCCCCATGTCCCAAACAGAGTTCCTATGTTTTTCTCTTATTTTATTTCAGCAGTATACTCTATTGGCCAAAAGAACAAGAGACTACCATTTCCAAGTTATGAGGAAGCAGATGGGAAAGTTATAAATAGTCCCCCCCACCCCAACAGCCTTCAGTTATTTTTCCAAGAACAGACCATATGCTTGGCTGGAACACCATAAACGTTAAGTTAATCAGATGAAAAGACTGTAGACCAATCGGTCCTTCTGCTGCAGTGAGTCTGCTGATGACCCTCCTTTGGGACAGATTTCTTCAGAGAAAAGACGACTAACCATTATTCTTTTCATTATTCAACACTGGTAAATGTTAAGTAACTATCATTTGAATTCTCTTCTTGACATATACACAAAACTTTCCCTCACCTTTCAAACAGTACATGAACTTCAGGAGTGGGACTTTATTTGGTAATAACTTTGCATATCTTGCTTTTAGAATCCTAGCTCCAAAAACTGTATGACATGTAGCTTTGTCATACAAGACTCAGAGACTTCTTATCTAGCTTAGGACTAGGTATCTGAACATAAATGTTTAGAAAAAAGATACTTAAGAAACATCCACAGAAATCCGTGGCTTAATTTGTTACTATTCAAAAGCCCAAAGTATGGAACACCACCATCATTCTAACTTTAGAAACAAAATAGCCAGCCAGCATTCAGTACTACATCCTGATCCAAGACACTAGTACCACATAGTATTCTGTACCTGTTGAAACTACCCCACACAGAACTGTTAATAGACTCTCATGTGATGCAAACTGAAGCAGTAACACAGCTATGAAATTATTGCTTTCTTGCAATATTATTGTTCATATCTACAGTACGTCATGTCTGCAATACAACCTAATATGAAACTCACAATACTGCAATATACAAGGGTAGCTTTGAATTTGACTTAAGATTCTACCCCACTGGTCCTACAACTTCTTATTACTTCCCAAGAGTAACCACATCAGTAATCCTACTAGTGTTCAAGATTTGACATGTTCTTATCATTTAACCCAGACACATAAGAGATATGTGCTATCTCTGTTCTGTATGACAACAAACCCTAGTTAGGAATTAGTTGTGTTTTGGAGAAGAATCTCTCTTCCTTTTCCTTTTCCTATTCTTACTAATGTCCATTTACGGGATTTATTAGACATCATACAACTCAAGAATTCCCGCTATTAAATATAGTAATATTCTACTTAGCATAAGACAATAACAAAACTGTAATCCTCAAGTTGAAAATACTCCTCATATTCTCAAAAACTGGTCTATATACAATGATTTTCTTTCACCACAGCGAGAAAAACAAGCACAGTTTACCAGTCTATGCAAAACCCCTTAAATATGTTCTAAAACAGAAAGAAGCATGTTTGGCTTTTGATATGGAGGACTAAGAAATATCACACCTACAGTACTCCTTTCCAGAGTTATTAGAAGTTGCAGAAGATTTATAACTAAAACCAAGTTTTGCTCGAGACCTTTTAAAACAATTAAAAATATTCCTTTTTAACAAACTTAATTTTTCAAAAGGACATTGAGCAACTGTCCAGTAATCCACTTTCCAAACAGGAAAAGTACAGTCTATGCTCTATCAATCCTGATTCTAGCCATCCATATAAATACCCGACACAACTTTAAGAAAGGAAGTTCATGACATAGTTCCATATGTGAATGGTATCACAAGCAAAACTATCTCACTGGAAAATATAGAACACGTGGAAGAATAAACACAGCTCTCTCAGTTTATAAGACAATGGTCTTCTGGCAATGTAAGTTCTTCTGCCCTAGGCTTTTTGGCTACTGTAATCAGAGAATAGTTTTAAAGAAAGACTGACAAAGTATCTCTATATAGTTCCTGTATGTATATAGTTCCTAATATATCCAGAATAGTATGCCACCTGTCACTTTTTTATGGTTAGCAGACATGGCAAGGTCCATTTAGGGTCACCTATGTAGTCCTATTTTTTTGCTGCTGATGCTGCAGCTGATCCTTCAGATCATTTCAGAGTAGGGACCATGTATCTTTCTAATGACACCAATGCCTGCCAGTGAAAGAAAGCTTGCACAGCCACAGCACTGCTACACTCAATTTACAAACAGTGGAAAAGTTTGACTGGGGCAGAAGTATTCATGGCTTTCTTTCTGCATTCATATCAGAGTCTTGCACAATTTAAAATTATGGATGTGTATGAAATGTAGGCAAAAATAAAAAACAAATTAAAATGTTATTGTCATTTGTGATCCTAAATGACCACTGGGTCGTTTTGCTCATTGGCAAGTTTGCAATGCAACACTTCTGGAACTGAAGGATTGGCTGGCTGTGTGTCATTGCTCAGGGCACACCTGAGTGTGCTCGTAACACACAGGATACGTGAAGTAGATGTAGAAGATGTAGGAAATGTCCATATAGGCAGAAAACAAAAATACTGTATACAGTGGGGTCTTGACTTGAGAACTTAATCCGTATTGGAAGGCGGTTCTCAAGTCAAAAAGTTCTCAGGTCAAATCTGCATTTCCCATTGGAATGCATTGAAAACCATTTGATCCGTATCTGCTCTTTTCTGACCATAGAACCTAATGGGAAGCTGCTATTCCGCCTTCGACCACTAGAGGGGGATATTTTCTTTCTTTTTTTCTTAGGTCAAGAAAGGTTCAGGGAAGGCAGGGAAAATACAGTCCAGGCAGTCCAGTACCAGGCAGTCCGAAGACTGTCTCCCAATCCACTCTCTAAATGCTGGGAGGAGTGAGGAAGCAGACAGGCACCCTTTTCACTGGCCAACAGTTAACTGAAAGTTCACATTTTGCACTTTCCCTGCCTCCCACGTGGGTTTTTTCAGTTTATAACTCAAATCTAAGTACTTAAGTCAAGTCAATATTTTCCTATGAGAGTGGTTCTTAAGTCAAAATGTTCTTAACTCGAGCCGTTCTTAAGTCAAGACCCCACTGTAGTTTTATTTCATACAGAGTGGGTTGATTTAAATCAAGCTGATTTAAGCTATATGTGTTTGTGTTATGTGCCATCAAATTGAAATTGATTTTATAATGACCCTAATAGGGCTTTCAAGGTAACAGATATTCAAGGAGTGTTTTTTTTGCCAGTTCCACGCCTCCAGTGAGCTTCCATAATTGAGCAGGCATTTGGACCCAGGTCTCCCGAGTCCTAGTCTTTCACTCTATCCACTATAACACATTGGGAAAATCGCAATGTATGCAACCAAAAATATTTTAGTTTAGTGCACATCCTCTTTTTTTAACGGGGCAATATTACTTTATTAAAACCAAGATATACAACACTGTATGGAAACCTCCCAATTATACAGGACTTCCTTAAACTAGGCAGTAAAAATAACTGAGGAATGATATTTTTTTATTTTTTATTTTACTTTAGTGTACATCCTACAGTATATTGGTACATGAACTCATTACAATATGTGGATTTGCTACCCAATAGTGCTCTGAAATTTAAAATACTCACTATAAAGTCCACATGTCTTTCATACTACAGAATTATGTCTAATTCAACACAAGGCATATACCACCTGCAAAGCTGCTATGCAGCATCACTTACTTGGAGACTTAGGTTATACAGTATCCAATTATTTTACTGCGCTACTGCAAGACTTGATGTGCCTTAGTTAGCAGAAGGGTTGCATCCAATGCAGTTTTTTCTTGCACAATGGTATAAATCCAGCCCTGAATTGTCACTCTACTAGTTTACACTGGATTTAAGCATTCTAATTTAATATATAGCCTTATTTGGAAACACTGAACAAAACAAAACTCTGAGCAATTATCGTGAGTATCATGGTAGCCAAAGGGGTAATAGTGTTTTCTTCACAAAATATGGAGTACAAAAGCAAATGAAATGTTTGTCAAATACAAAACTACCTGGTTTCCATTGTCTATCCCCATTCATATAAATATATGAACTACAGTCCTGTTTGACAACTGAGGAAGTTCTGTCTTCATAAGCAAAACAGCCCTTTACAAGAGAGCTAGACAATCTGTTTTAAGAAGTGAGTATGTTTGTATTAAACCCAGCTTTTGTTTTAAACCAAGTTTTTCTAAAGAAACTAAATACAGCTGGAACTATTTTTTAAATTGACTTTTACCTGCTGCGTTTTAAAGGTAGGATTAAACTGTCCTTAGTCACAGTAAATACACTCAAGTTAGGATTTCTCCCATATAATGCAGCGATGCAACCAATTTTAAATGCCTCTCACAATTAACAGTGAATGTTCACAGACTAATGAGCTCAGTGTCATAACTCTACCTTCACCAGAAGTTGCCAATCCAGAAGATGAAATCTTCAGATTAGCCATGGTTTCTGTCAAGTGATGTACCTAAAGATGAACAGCAGCAAACAGTAAACAATACAATGTAAAAATTAAATCTCCTTCAAGAGGATTACGGAAACATCTTGCTTCTAGACCAAAAACTCACATCCAGGTTCTAAAGATACTCATTTCTAATTCCAAAGCCACAAGAAAAATAATGAAATCAAATGCTAATGTATGCTCCCTTCTCAAACACAAAAATCTGTGCAGCGATAAATAAATGATTTACTTTGTAAGAAGGTCACTCAGTTTTACATGTATTGTACATATAGTCGAAAG